ATGGAAACCAATTTGACGATAAATATTTTTAAAAAATAAATTAAAAAAAAGAATAAAAGAAAAGAAACCAGGAAACAATATCTATGAATGACACGCTTGATCTGATGGACTTAACAGATATATTCAGAACATTCCATCTTAAACAGAAGAATACACATTCTTCTCAAGTGCACATGGGACATTCTCTAGAATAGGTCCCTTATTCAGCTTCAACATATACAAAAGGATTGAGGTCATACAGTGCATCTTTCCTGACAAAAATACTATGAAACTTGAAGTCAACCACAAGAAAAGATCTTGGAATGCCAGAGATACATGGAGGTTATACAACATGCTAGTAAACAGTGAACAGGTCAACAACAAAAGCAAGGAAGAAATTTAAAAAATACAAGGAAACAAATGAAAATGCAACCGCAATGGTCCAAACGTTTGGGATGCAGTAAAAGCACTCCTCAGAAGGAACTTACAAGGTATGGTGTGGTAGGCAATAGAAGCCTACTTAAGAAGCAAGAAAATATATCAAATTAAAAACCTAACCTTACATATAAAGAAGCTAGAGAAACAAGAAATGAAGCCTAATGCCAGCACAAGAAGGGAAATAATAAATATGAGAGCAGAAATAAATGATATACAAATGGAAAAAACAATAGAATATATCAATGAAACCCAGATCTGGTTCTAGGAAACAATTAATATAATTGATTAACCCCTAGCCAGACTTATCAAATAGGAAAGTAAAAGGACACAAATAAATAAAATCACAAACGAGAGAGAGGAGAGGAATAATAAAAATCAATACCATGGAAATACAAATAATTAGAGGAGAATATTATGGAAAATTATATGTTAACCAATTGGACAACCTGGAAGAAATCTATAAATTCCTAGAAACATATAAACCACCTAAAGTAAAACAGGAAGAAATAAAAAGCTTGAAAAGGAACAAAGCAAAGAAATTGAATCCGTATATAAAAATCTCCCAATAAACAAAAGTTCAGGGCCAGATAGCTTCACAGGTGAACTCTACCAAACATTTAAAGAAGAGTTAATACCTATTCTTCTCAAACTATTTCAAATATTCGAATTGGAAGAAAAACTTCCAAATTCACTCTATGAGGCCAGCATTACCCTGATACCAAAACCAGAAAATATTCATTAAAAAAGAGAACTACACGCCAATATCCCTGATGAACACAGATGCAAAAATTCTTAATAATACACTAGAAAATAGAATCTAACAGTACATTAAAAGAATCATTAACCACAATTAAGTGGGATTTATTCCTGGGATCCAAGGGTGGTTCATTATTCCAAAACCAATCAACATGATACGCCACATTAATAAAAGGAAGGATAAGAAACATATAATCATTTCAATAGGTACAGAAAAAGTATTTGACAAAGTACAATATTAATTCATGTTAAAAACCCTTAACAAAGCAGGTTTAGAGGGAATATACCTGAACATCATAAAGGCTATATATGAAAATTCCACAGCTAATATCATCCTCAAGGGGAAAAACAGAGCTTTTCCTCTTTGTCAGGAATAAGACAGGGATGTCCACTCTCACCATTGTTATTCAACATAGTACTGGAAGTCATAATTTCAGCAATCAGACAATAAAAATAATTAAAATGCACCCAAATCAGCAAGAAAGAACTAAGGCTTTCACTATTTGCAGATGACATATACCCTGTATAGAAAACCCAAAAGCCTCACCCCAAAATTGCTAGGACTGATACAGATCAGTAAAGTTGCAGGATACAAAATCAACATACAGAAATCTGTTGCATTTCCATACACCAATAATGAAGTAGCAGGAAGAGAAATCAAGAAATCAATCCTATTTACAATTGCACCCAAAACTATATAATATTTAGGAATAAACCTTACCAAAGAGATGAAAGATCTGTACTCTGAAAAGTATGACATTGATGAAGAAATTGAAAATGACACAAAGAAATGGAAAAACGTTCTTTGCTCATGGATTAGAAGAACAGTTATTGTTAAAATGTCAATAACTACCCAAAGCAATATATACATTTAATGCAATCCCTATCAAAATATCAACAACATTTTTCACAGAGCTGGAACAAACAATCCTAAAATTTGTATGGAATCACAAAAGACCACGAACAGCCAAAGCAACCTTGAAAAAGAAAAGCAAAGCTAGAGGCATCAGAATTCTGGACCTCAAGTATGTTACAAAGCTGTAGTAGTCAAAACAATATTGTACGAAGAATAGACACATAGATCAATGGAACAGAATAGAAAATCCAGAAAGGAACCCATAACCATATGGTCAATTAATCTTTGACAAAGGGGGAAGGAATATCCGAATGGAAAATAGTCTCTTCAACAAAGGGTGTTGGGAAAAGTGGACAGCAACATGAAAAAGAATGAAACTGGATCACTTTCTTACACCATACACAAAAATAAATTCAAAATGGATGAAATACCTAAATGTGAAACAGGAAACCATGAAAATCTTAAAGGAGAACATAGGCAGTATGTGTCTCATCATTTAAAGCCAACTTCTTTTTATTTTTTTGTTTTTTTTATTTTTTTTAAATATTTTTATTTATTTCTAGGAGAGAGAGAGAGACAGCGCGAGCAGGGGAGGGTCAGAGAGAGAGGGAGTCACAGACTGAAACAGGCTCCAGGCTCTGAGCTGGCAGTCAGCACAGAGCCCGACGCGGGGCCCGAACCCACAAACCGCGAGATCATGACCTAAGCGAAAGTCGGACGCTTAACCGACTAAGCCACCCAGGCGACCCGCCAACTTCTTTTTAGAACTGTCTGCTGAGGCAAGGGAAACAGAAGCAAAAATAAGCTATTGAGACTTCATCAAAATAAAAAGCTTCTGCACAGCGAAGTGTGCAATCCACAAAACTAAAAGGTACCCTATAGAATGGGAGAAGACAACATATCTGATAAAGTTTTGGTATTCGAGAATATATAAAGAGCTTATAAAACTCAACACCCCCCCCCAAAATACCCCCAAATAATCCAGTTAAGAAATGGGTAGAAGACAGGAATAGACACTTTTCTAAAGACATCCAGATGCCCAACAGACATAGGAAAAGATGCTCAAGCGAACTCACCCTCAGGGAAATATAAATCAAGACTACAATGAGATATCCCCTCATACTTGTCAGAATGGTAAAATCGACAGCACAAGAAACAACAGGTATTGGTGAGGATAATGTTGGAGAATGGAACCTTCTTATACTGTTGGTGGGAATGCAAACTGATGCAGCCACTATGGAAAACTGTATGAAGGTCCCTCAAAAAGTTAAAAATATAACTACCCTATGCTCCAGCAATTGCACTACTACGTATTTATACAAAGGATACAAAATTACTAATTCAAAGGGATATATGTATCCCAATGTTTATAGCAGCATTATCTACAAGAGCCAAATTATGGAAAGAGCCCCAATGTCCATTGGCTGATGAATGGATAAAGAAGATGTGGTATATACAATGGGCTATTATTCAGCCATATAAAAGAATGAAACCTTGCCATTTGCAAGGACATAGATAGAGCTAGAGAGTGTTATGCTAAGGGAAATAAGTCAGTCAGAGAAAGGCAAATAGAATATGGTTGCATTCATATGTGGAGTTTAAGAAACAAAACAAACAAACATAGGAGGAAAAAAAAGAGGAGAAAACCAAGAAGCTGACCCTTAATACAGAGAAGAAACTGATGGTTATCAGAAGGGAGGAGGGCAGGGGGTTGGGTTAAATAGGTGATGGTATTTAAGGAGGCCACATGTTGTGGTGAGCACTCTGTGTTTCTTACAAGTGTTGAATCACTACATTTTATACTTTAATATTACACTGTATGTTAACTGGAATTTAAATAAAAACTTGAAAAAGAAAAAAAAAAGAAGAGTGATAGCTGAAGGAAGTAGGTCAAAATACAGTCAATTTTTCAATAAAAGGTCAACAGGAATAGATAAGGGAGCTGGTTGTGTTATAATTTCTGCTGAGCAAGAATTCTTTCCCTTTGTAACTGAATATTGGAACATTTTATCTTCCTTAGTCCTAGTAACCTGCCTTGCTCTGAAACTGGACTTCCAGGTAGAGACCCTGGACCTAGATAACCTAATTGTAAGCATTTAGAAATGCATGTTTCCCATCTCTGCTCCTCATCTCAATGCCTTTCCATGTCCTCATCAGACTCATTCACTCCAGTTCTGACAAGTACAATTTCTCACTCAAAATTTTTGTCAGCTATTGAATTATTGGGACCAGTTGCTAAAAATTACTCTCTGATGTCTGGTATTAGCAACATAAATGCTAATTTATGTAGTAAGCATAAAATCATGAGGAGACAAAAACAGGTGATGGTAGGGGCATGTGAACATGAGAATTTAACTTTCAGCTTTTCACACACACACAAATCTAATTATGACTCAAAAATCTGGTGGGAGAAAGGTGGAAGGACAAACTTATGCTTCCTCATTTTTCCTTTGCTGCTCTGCCTTTTAGAAAAGTAGACTACATGCATGTGAAGGCTTGCCCACATATACGTCTTTTATTTCTTTGTGTATGTAAACCAGTCTGAGAAAATGAGAATGAGATTTTAAAGAAAATTTAATCATTGTGAAAAAATTTGGGTAGAGAAAGGTGAGCTGCTGCCCATTGATTAAATTAACTGAAGCAAAACACCATGAGTTTTTTGGAAGGATTGTTTACAAATATACACAGCAATGTTTATTATGTTTCGTGACTTATCTGAATGTTTATAAATCATGGTATCACAAACCTGGTAAGAAAGCTTCTAGGCTGCTATTTAATCCAACCTAAGCCACCCACATATGCTAAACAAATCTGGCCATACTTGCCCTTCTCTATCCAAAGGTCACTTATGAGGTTGACATGATTATATAATCTTTTTGGACACTATTTTCTCACTATACTACATTCGTTGTGTTAACATGGTTTTAGTGTTTGGTCTGCTGGGTGGAGACTTCTTTATGAGCCTACTTACCTTGGTTTTCCTCCTCATTTTCTTCCCAGGGCTTTTCATTTGCTAGGAGTGGGTTCTGCGACTCGCTCATAGATCTCATAGGGAAGGAGTGTCCATCACCAGGACTATTGGAGAAAGGAAGGGAGTGAGCTCTTGCAGATGACATAGACTTTTTATGAAGGCTATAGCCCTCCTAGAAATAGGAGGGGGTTCTTAGAAAGGTTTAAACCATTTAGCTTATTGGCTAAAGCCATGGTGGCATAGGGTTTTACAATAGCATCCTTTAGTTGCTCCATTGCTCTCAATTTCTAGATCTTCTTTGTCTGCATCAGTGTCAACTGTTTTCGTTTGTAAGTAACTGTTTAATTTGTTTCCCACAATGCCCAATTATGGCAAAATGAACATATAGCAAGCTTCATATGATCATCCCAATTTATATCTCATTATCTTGTTGCTTGGGTTCTAAATTTTCAACAAAAAATAGTAAATTCAGAATCACTGATATAGTGGAGATAAGTTGCTGTGAACTGGTGATAAATATTAGTGTCTGAATGCCCTTTTATTTGGCTTCTATGGTAGAAAGGTTATTAGGAACTGTGGGAAACAGCCAGAGTGTGGCATCTCTACGAGTGTAGATTCTGGGGGCAATTACCTGCATGTGGGATCCACTTGTAGATAACTATCGTAATGTACAACCATTTCTTTGGTTAATCTCTGGCCACTAACAGATGGGATACACTGGAGGGAACTAAGTTGGCCCTGACTGTAGTGGGCTACAGTTTGAACATTTGAGTATATATATCTGAATATATTGCAAATTTATATCTGACTGACTTTTGGATTACTCATTTTATATTACTTATGCCTTTACTCCTGTTCATAATTGTGGTTAACTGAAAGTTGACAAATTCTATTGATAGCTCTCTAAGAGGATGTAAGTATACTGATTATAAGTGAATTGGCTTTGATTTTGGCTTTTGATTTTTTCTTCCAGAAAAGACTCATTTTAGATCTCCCTTTGATGTAGTGATAGAGTGTGTGTTTTGTGTGGCTGTGTGTTAGTGGAGTGAAAATAATTGCTGGTGACAATTATTAATCAATATTACCCACAACATAGTTTTGTCTTGTGCTTTATAGCCAGGATAGTAGGATATACCACAGATCTTAAATAAATGGGTTTGTAAAAGAATAAGTGATACAGAGGAAGTATCAGAGCAATGAGTAAGGGGGAAAATAAAATTTTTCTTAATTATCACCCTACTCCAACAAAGTTTCCTCAAATAAGTGAACAGACAGATGTATCCCTGAGGAATGCATCTAAAGGGAGCTTCAAGACTCTATAAGTAAGCTTTGCTCCAGAGATAGTTCACTTGGTGTTAGTTCAATGTGGCTCATCAAGCCACTCAGGGGACACAAGCTCGCCTCCCTTTCACTGTTTTCCTTTCATTCCTGCTTCAATTCTAAGAATTACCTATAATTTCTAAATCAATCTTTGTTCCTACTTTTTACATTAATTACCTTCATAAAAGTAATATAGACATTTCACCCCAAAATATAAAAATGGAGAGAAGAAAAATATAAAACTACTGCCCTTACCATTTATCCACTTATAGCATTTTTAGGTTATATGTCCCCTATGTTGTTTTTCTTCTGCGTGTATTTGTACATATTTTTAATTGCAGAGTACACACCATTTGAATTCTACATTTTTCACTTAAAAATAGTGAGCATTTCCTTTAATTGTGACATAGTCTTAATATAGTCATACTTTTGACTACATAAAAGTCTAGTCAGTGGGGATATATATATATATATATATATATATATATATGGCATATTGTTGAATATTTAGGTTGGATGTTTACTAATTATTGGCTGGAAATAATGCTGTGATGAACATTTTTGTGGCTAGTTTGTTTTTAGGATACATTTTTGGAAGTGTAATTACTTGACAATGGACATGGGAATTCTTATGATTCTTGATGCATATTACCAAATTCATTTATAAAAGAATGGTACCAGTTTACAATGTTTCAAAGCATGAGAATGCCTATTTATCATACCTTCACTTCCTAATTTGTCTTTACTAATCTAGAAATAAAAAACTTGGGGAATATAGTTTTTCGTTGGACTTATGACTTATTGCATACTACAATTAAAATTGAATTTGTTACTTCAAGGCATGGTCCAGCCTCAACTTCTTTTAGTGGTAGTAATTACTTACCTGGACCCAGTAGGTATTAACCAGAACTTCTTGTTATCTCCAAACACTTGCTGGATATTTTTGATGAAGCCAAGGTTGAACCCATTTTTCTCTGGGCCACTTGTAAACACTGGATTACAGAAGGCCTCTAGGGCAGGATAGGGGAGTTGAAGAGGAAGAAAGCAACAAAAGAACAAATTCAGGGCTAACATGATTTTACAGTACTCCATGAATGTGACTTGCTTCTACAATATCTTTTTGTTGTGGTAGCATAGGCCTGTCTTGTTTAGTTATTGCTCAATTACTTAGTAAAAACTAGTTTAATCACTTACTAAAAGCAATTTTGTTATTAAATGCAAATGATTGATACTCTTAAAAAAGACAGAAGAAACACATAATAGTAGAAATAATTAAGCAGCCATGGGGGTACTATATATTTTATACTGCTGCATGTAAGGAGTGAAAGAACAAATTTAACAGTACTTTATTTGAATCTAAATGGCAACAGGAGCCAAATGGTCTCCCTCTTTAGAGCTGGGACTAAAGTAATGATGCATGAAGAGATGATAATGACATTGATTTGATTTTGAAACATTTCAGAAATAATGTTTACTCTAAAACCTGCAATGTAAGAAACTGAGGTTTACTCAAGAAAAAATGTCAGTAGATGAACTATAATCACCTCAAGGACTGAGGAATTGAACCATGTTAGTGCACATTATTTTTAGACACACATTAATCCCATTAAGCAAACGCTTTCACTGTTGGACTGGCTGCATCTGGCCATTTCCTATTTGTTCTTTTGTCATCCTAAAGCTTTTAGTACTTTTCTACTTTGCAGTTATGTCTAAGCCAAATGTGCTGACCTACCACCCTAGCAAGTAAGTGCTAGATATTTGGTTTAGAAAAGTAGTGTAAATACTTTCTTAGCTGTTGGCATTATTGGTAAATGAGTTCCAAATGTAAAGTAGCTTTTGTACTAAACTTTCTCAAATCTATCTTAGCTAAACATTAACCAGTTGGACACTTTCTCCTTTTTCCTCATGCATTAATTTGTATACAATGTATTTGTTTTACTATAGATGAAATAAAATTGTTGCACTGGAATCCATCAGAAACATAATTCTCCAAGTAACAGATGACAGTATAGGTAACAGAAAAAAAAAGTCATTTCTTGTACTAATTTTCTAGAAACTCGCCTGTTAAGTGTATTCATCTCATTCCCAGTCCTCCACAGCTCTTTGATGATTGTACATATCCAATGATTTGTTGGTTTGAATTATTTCTCAAGACTCTGTCTTTGGATGCACTCAATAATTTAGATTCTTCTATCTTTATTAACCTTCACCTCCCCCTTCTGATGTTCCTTTCTGTATTTTTTTCCCCTTCACTTCCTCAGGTGAACACCTTTTAGAATTTTTTCAAGCCACAAATTTGGGGACCTATTACCCAGTGTGAATTACAAAGAGCAATGGTCAATTTTTGGTTTTCTGTGAGGTTTCATTCAATAATGCTTTCTTTAGTTTGCAAGCTTAATTCACTATGGCTCTCCAGTTTGGTAAAACGTGTTTACATCTGTCTCAGTTTAGAGGCAAAGGAATGTCACTAAAACTAAAATGCCTCACTGGAACATTTTCTCTTCCTTGGGAATAATCTACAGGCCACTATGATATACATTAATGTGTTTTTCCCCTAGCCTTAATATACAGTCTTACCTAAGGTGGTTTTGTTTCTGCTGACAAGCCAACAATGGTAACCAAAGAGAATCACAAGGCTGACAAAAAACATGCAGGCCACAAAGAGGAGAAAAAGAACATGGAACTTTGAGCCAACACTGGGCAATTCCCCCTAGAAAAGAAATAATAAGCAAATAGAAACAAAGGATTAAAGTATTAAGGCTTAACTAGTTTTTCTATATGTTAGCACTTTTCTCGTATGTATAAAATGTCTAGCTGCAATAAAAAATAGGTTTTATAAAATTTTTACAAAAGAGTTCCTTCTGTTGATGACCATACCACATTATAATATGTTTTCAGCCTGTAAAGCCTAAAATGGATCCTTGATTAAGTTCAGTGTAAGATAGAGTATATAATGCAGCAATTAGAATAGTGTAAAAAGGGTATACTCAGGCCATAATTGATATGCAACCTCTTAAAGCTTGTACTCCATTTAGTTTGTACATTATAAGTCATTTGGCCAGAGGTGATCTTGAGGTCATATGGTTCATCCTCTTGTCTCAAGATGGGTTATTCTGAAATACTTTATATGTCATGTTTCCTTGAATATATGTGTTGAAAAGGTCACAACATATGTGTGTTGAAAACAAGTTAAGACATATAGTAGAAAGTTAAAATGTTCTACCTATAAGTTATAACTTGATGTAAAAGTTACTGCATATTTTGTGTGGTTCTTTTTTATTAAAAAGCTATAGCTGACGTAGAATATGCTGGCATATCACATCCCATCAAATAGCTCTTTAGACTTTAAAATCAATCAGGATTTGACAGGCAATTGTAAAAGTAGGCAGCTAATGACTTTTATAGTATTCTGTGACATCTTATTGGAGAATAAGCGGCACCAGCTTTCTTTTCTTACATGCAGCCCTAGATGAGAATAAATTTTCTAAAGTTTTATAGCATGCATGATGTATAACATTTGTCTTATGAAGAGACCTTAGAAAACATTTTTGATTTTGGAGTAAGAAGTTGAGAGAACTTTTTTATTTCCCCTTTCCTATGATCACTTTTTTTTTAAATGTTTTATTTATTTATAGGAGAGAGAGAGAGAGACAGTGTGAGCAGGGGAGGGTCAGAGAGAGAGGGAGTCACAGACTGAAACAGGCTCCAGGCTCTGAGCTGGCAGTCAGCACAGAGCCCGACGCGGGGCTCGAACCCACGAACCGCGAGATCATGACCTAAGCGAAAGTCGGACGCTTATCTGACTAAGCCACCCAGGCGCCCCATCCTATGATCATTGTTTTGGCATGATGAATTGCATTAAAGTATTTCCAAACGCTCTTGAGTTTTGATTGAAGTGGACCTTAACATTAGGATCTGGTTCTACTTAAGTTTAGAAGGAAAAATTAAGACTTGGAAACACTTGGCAAAATCAGATAGCACAGATTTTTTCCCCTTTCTTTAAGAAGATTTTTATTCATTTTGATGTAAGGAAATGTTGGGGTGTATGTTTGAAGGATGAAGATAAGGGGAAGTCGGTCAAGCAGGTGTTTTTAGCTGAGGGGTGGGCTGTGTGAAATTTGCATAGGGGCAGAGCACCCCAGGAAATGGATACCTCAAGGACTCAACCTTCAGGGATTTTCATCTGAAGCTCCTTTCTGAAATGATCCTTCCACAAAATTTTGACCTAAGCACCCAAACTGAATTTGATTGGTTTGTGTTTGTTTGTTTAGAAAGAGAGAGAGACAGACAGACAGACAGGGACGGAGAGAGAATCCCAAGTAGGCTCCACACTATCAGTGTGAAGCCCGATGTGGGGCTCAAACCCACAAAATATGAGATCATAGCCTGAACTGAAACCAAGAGTCAGATGCTTAACAGACTGAGCCACCCAGGTGCCCCTGTATTTGTTTTGTTTTAAATTTATGGGAAAGGTTTTATATACTGTTTTGTAGTGGTTTTGGCCTAGCTAGGTTTTTGCTTTCATAATCTCTGATTTTTTAGTATATTTGTTAAAGTTTTAAAAGCTTACATTTATCTCAAAATGGATAAAGCACCTGAACGTGAGACAGGAAACCATCAAAACCCTAGAGGAGAAAGCAGGAAACAACCTCCTTGACCTCCACAGCAGGAATTTCTTACTTGACATATCCCCCAAAGCAAAAGAATCAAGAGCAAAAATAAACTTTTGGGACCTCATCAAGATTAAAACCTTCTGCACGGCAAAGGAAACAATCCATAAAACTAATAGGCAACCGATGGAATGGGAAAAGATAGTTGCAAATGACATATCAGATCAAGGGTTAATATCCAAAATCTGTAAGGAACTCAGCAAACTCCACACCCGAAAAACAAACAACCCAGTGAAGAAATGGGCAGAAGATATGAACAGACACTTCTCCAAAGAGGACATCCAGATGGCCAACAGACACAGGAAACGATGCTCAGCATCCCTCCTCATCAGGGAAATATAAATCAAAACCACACTGAGATACCACCTCACACCAGTCAGAGTGGCTAAAATGAGAAAATCAGAGAACACGAGATGCTGGCGAGGATGTGGAGAAACGGGCACCCTCCTACACTGTTGATGGGAATGTAAACTGGTGCAGCCCCTCTGGAAAATAGTGTGGAGGTTCCTCAAAAAATTAACACTAGAACTCCCCTATGACCCAGCAATAGCACTGCTAGGAATTTACCCAAGGGATACAGGAGTGCTGATGCATAGGGGCACATGTACGGTAATGTTCATAGCAGCACTCTCCGCAATAGCTAAAACATGGAAAAAGCCTATGTGTCCATCAACAGATGAATGGATCAAGAAGATGTGGTTTAGGTATACGATGGAATACTACATGGCAATGAGAAAGAATGAAATCTGGCCATGTGTAGCAACATGGATGGACCTTGAGGGTGTTATGCTGAGCGAAATAAGTCAGGCAGAGAAGGACAAATACCCTATGTTTGCACGTATAGGAGGATTAAGAGGAACTTGACGGATGACCATGGGGGAAAAGAATGGGGGAAATAGTGGGGGAGAGGGAGAGAGGTAAACCATGAGACTCTTGAATGCTGAGAACAAACTGAGGACTGATGGGTGTGGGGGGAGGATGGGCATGGAGGAGGGCACATGTGGGGATGAGCACTGGGTGTTATATGGAAACCAAGTTGACAATAAACTATTTATATATATAAAAATGAAAACTCTAAAGAGCCCACAACAAACTGAAGAAAAAAAGCATACGATTATTTTACTTCTAATCTTTCATGTTTAAGCGGTGCAATAGGAAATGTCTGGGGAAGAGGGACTGATAGAGTCAGTTCAAACCCTGGTTGGCTGAGCTGGAAGTCTTTTCCTCCCCTAATTACTTTTGCAGAACTCTCTTTTGTCTGCCAAGGGACATTCCTTGATAAAGTCCTTTTGTTGTTGTTGTTGTCGTTGTTGTTGTTAGAAGAGGTTGACAGCCCTATGTTCAAAATTACCTTCCCAGGAGATAACCAAGGCTAAATTACTCAAAGCAATAGCCACCAGAACAGTTCAGGGGAATATTGGTAGAATAATATTACTATCTTGGTTCTAAAATAATTCATAATCTCTGTGAGGAGATTCATGGCCCACTGTGGAAGGTGTATATTACTATATTTTTTATAAAGCAAAGATAAATTTCATATCAAAGTAGCTACTCTTTAAATTAATATATATATTATTAATATGTAATTATTATATATATAAATATTATATATATAATATAAACATGCTCTGATGGTCTTCTGAATTCTTTATTGCAAAGGGCCTATAGCTTTTCCATAGCAGGACCATAATGGGCAATAGGATATGGTACAGTGTTTAAAATCATTAGGCGTAGGGTGAGACAGCTTCTAGTCCTGACTTTGAAATTTACAAGCTGGGTGATCCTAAGTCGCTTAAGTACAATAAGCCTCAGTTTTATCATTTTTAAATGAGACTAACAATTCTTGTTTTATGTACTTTACAAGTTTGTGGTGAGGAGAAGATGAGATAATAGATATTAAAGTGCTTTGAAAATTGCAAACTATTATACAAATGGGGGTTGCTGTTCTTCGGAGGACCACTAGTCTCCTTGATACATGATTTTTTAAATATATGGCAGTGTTTACTTTTCATTTTAAGGTAAGACAATTTAAACTGAGAAAGCCATCTCTAAACCACACCGAAGTGCTTTCTGGCTGGAGAGACTGCAAAGAAGCATTTCCCTGAATTTTCAATGAACTTTTCATTATGAGGGCAAGCCAAGACAAGTTTTCTTACATCCCATCTGTCAGGCATGAGCTAGTCTACTATAGAGAAAAAATGAGGGACTAGGAAAAGGACAAGGCTATGTTCATCTTGTGCTTGTGAATACTGGTATATTTCTGGTAATCCATATCCAAATATTATCTTTCAAGACTAAAAAAAAGCACACAGAACCTGGATGGCATTTTAGTATTTGATTATTGATTGTTTAGGTGGGCTAAGGCAAAATGTATAAAATGCAACATTGTTTACTGTTATGAATTCTTAAACAGTAGCCTACTGTGTTATGGACCAAGTAATGTCTGTAGTGAAAACCAAGGCTGGCACTTTTCCTGCTGAATTGGATACAGTGGATTTTCTTTACATTCAGAGTAGTAGTTAAGTGTGCAAATGGGATACCAAACAGGTCATGAAAACCTGAGCAATAGAAAAGAGATACTATGTTGTGGAAAGGAGCCAGAACTGCCAAAATAATGAAACATTTTGTATTTGAGGAAAATTTATGAGAAAATTTCATTTCTGCTTATACTTTTATATCTCTGAGTTGAATATTTTAATATCCATTATATAATTCCTGATTCTTAAATTTATTAAATATCTGAATTAATTAAGCAAATTAAAGGTAGAATGGAAAGCACATATTATAATTTTCTACACTATAGTTTCTACACTAATAGGGATCAAAGCATTAGTTAATAATTTAAATAGTCTCAGGTATTTAGATTCTCACCGACTTGTGTTTTTCCTTTGCTCTCTAGTTTATTATGAACCATATTTTGGTCACAAGATTCACATTCTTCCCCTGCTGCTTTACCACTTCACCTGAGGTGAGAGATTCCTGTTTATATAGGCTCTTGTGCAATTCCTAAAGTAATAACTAATAGCTCTGCCCAAATCTGTCTTTTGCTATTTAGGTTCAGTTTAGACAGTCCTCATCATGGAAGGTTATGATATTTTAACTGCTGTACTGGAGTTGTGGGGCAGGGATATCTTTTGGAGTCCATCGGCATGAAATTAAAAAAAAATTCACTACATGGCTGCCAGACCCCATACATATACATAAATTAAAAGTATGCCTTTAATTCTTTTGAAAATGGATGGGATATGGTTGAAATCTTCAAGTAGAAGAAATATGAAATGCTTTTTAGATTTTACTATAGTTATTGGAATCATATTTTGAAAGGTAAAATACTTTCAACATACATTTCATTTGATCTTGGCAATGAGCCAGTGACGTGGGTAACAGAGCCAGTATTAGAACTCAGTTTTCCTATTTCCCAACCCAGTGTTTGTCATACACAGTTCAAATAATACAAAGTTCAACTAAGACTCTTCTTTTCATTTTGGTCACATGTGAAAAGGAGTCAATGAATCTGTCTGTTCAGCAGGAATTTTGCAACTCTCCTTTGAACAGGAAATGAGAAAGGATTTTTCAACAATGAGGAAACACTTTGTTAGCCTTTTCTTAGGAAACTAGAGATTCAGAATTAGTTTCAACATTTTAGAAATCGAAAATTGGTAAGAAGTGGATTTTTATAATTTGACTAGATAAGTACATTGTAATGCATCACTAAGAGTCAAGAGACCACACTCCTAAAGGTCTTAACAAGATTCTCATGTATGGCATAAATTGGTTTAAGTGGAATCCTTAAATAACAAACCTCTAAATCTCAGAATATTCAACATGAGAAACTTGTTTTTGGTGCCTTTCCTGCTGGTTACTTTAGTATTAGCTATTTCAAAGTGTAAATAGAAAAGTTGAAAAAATGTCACAGATTGGAGTGGCTATGTGTTTTTTCTACTTACTTTCCCGTATTTGATGAAATAGTTGAAGACTGTTGTAGCAATGTACAGGAAGTAGAGGACAGAATAAGCTAAAAACTGAAGAAAGAATTTGTAGTTGGAAAATCCAATGCAATTATTAACCCTAAAAAAGTGAAAAAAAGAAAAACTAATTTGAAATCAGGATCCATTGATTGGGAACACACTGATATATAAGTGAACTACGCAATGGAAATATATAACTCCTGCTGCTTCATTATGTGTGTAGAAGAAACTCAACATAAATAGAAGTACCTTAATAGGAACAGACTGGAAAAACAAGTTCATGTCTCACTTGTTTCTCCTTTCACTTATAGGCACAGAGACATGTGGCCTACCTAATAGTTTAGGACTGGTTCCTGACACACCCAAGAAAACTTGAATCTTGGATGCTGAAAAGCTATTACAATCTCAGCAGCTACACTTAGTATAGTGTGGCATGTTCTTTTTGTAGTTGGACAGTTTCAGACTGGTTTTGTAGGTCAGACATACAAAATTTGGAGAATTATTGGTTAACAATCTAGAATATTTCAAATATTAAGACAGCTAAAAACAGAACTGAATAGTATAATGTCAAAGAAGACAACTACTTGTGCTCAATTTCATTACTACACCCAATTACTAAAACTAATGGACAAAAGGCTGTGAGCTTTGTGAGCCCATGAATTCATCACCATACCTTTGGTGGTATATTTATTTTTACTTTATAATATCATGCCTCTCCTGAAAGCCCCCTCATGCAAATACAAAGCCCAGAGATTTATGGTTGTAGAAATAAGCATGTTACAACTATGCTTAGGAAACTAGGCATTTTGAGACACTTTTACCCGTTCAGGGTAAAGAAATGAATCAAGAGGACATACCAAGGGCAATGATGGTCCATTTTTAATACACATCTACAAAAGAAACAACACAGAGTGTGATAAGTGGACCTATGGAAATGAAGTAACACCTCATAATTTAACTCAAGATCTCACCAGTATACATAGAACCAGTACACTCATTTCTAGATTTCCAATATATGCTGTTCCCAAACTATTTTGTCATCAGTTATTTCTAGGTTAAGTCAATCAGAACAGTTTATAGAATTGTGCTGGCAGCAAGTTACATACCTAGAAGCCTAAGGTATCTCCTCTCATTTTTCTCAATATACGGATTAATAAAAGTACAGAAGAATACATGTGGCTACAGTCTGTTGAAATAAAAAGTAAATGGAGACAATTCTTGAAAATTTCCCTAGCAGACAAAATTAGTTTAGTCATATAAACAAAGCTTAATTTAGCTTATTTTGTAAGACTGACTTGACCTGGGTTATTTCTTGCTTATGTCTCTGCAAATCATCAGTAAAATTTAAGCCGTTTTCCAAGGTCGACATAAAGTAACTATTGACCAAATCTGTTTCATTTAAGGAAATTCTAATATACTAATCACTGTGAAGAATAAACAAGCCTTGTTTTCCACTATATAAGCTGTTTAATAACAATATACCCCAAACCTCATTTTATGTTTTGGTTTGAGTGGTTGTGGTTTGTAAACCCTTTTTGTTGTATGCAAAATGAAATTTTACTAATTACTACTCTGATGATTTATTTGTTTTACACTAGCTATTGCTGAAATTTTGACATACCTGTTTGAATCAAAGGCAAGAGAAATATGAGTGGAACATACACCCAAGGAGAAGGACATGAATATTTTATTTATTGACATAAAATGTGATTTTACAAAATTGGAGCAATTAGAGTAAGAAAATAAAGTAGAATTGAGATATAACCCAAAATATAAAGTGATTATCTATGCCTATAAACTTATATGAATCATAAATAAACAAATAAGGGAGAAGAGACAAATCTCCTATGCAGAAGAATTCTAAATAATTTATATAGATACTCTGCCTTTAAGGGGGGGCATAATTCCTCATTTCTTTAGTGTCGGCTATATATAGTGACTTCCTTTCAGAGAGGAAAGGAAGGAGGGGTTAGAAAGAGTAAATTTACTTTAGAGAAAACTGACAAACACTACCTCAGATAAATGAACAAGATTAATATTGCAGTGATAAGTCATGTTCATGGATGTGCCCTTGATACAATACAATGATAATGGTACTTTACCTTTATGGTCTCCCTACCCAAAACACAGGACCTACATCTAACCATGAGAAAAATATCAGACGAATCTCAACTGAGGGAAATTCTACAAAATACCTGATCATTAATCCTAAAATCCTAGAAGCTATCATGGTTATTGAAAACAAGTAAAGCCTGAGAAACTGTCAGAGCTGAAAGACCATGAGAAGACATGCCAACTAAATGTAATTTGTTATCCCAGATGGGATTCTAGAACAGAAAAAGAACATTAGAGAAAAACTATGGAAATCTAAATAGAATATGGACTTCAAATTAAAATAATGTATTGATGGAGCATCTGAGTGGTACAGTTGGTTGGGCGTCTGACTTCAGCTCATGTCATGATCTCCTGGTTCACAAGTTCAAGCCCCATGTCACATCCTGTGCTGAAAGCTCGAAGCTTGGAGACTGCCTCGGATTCTGTGTCTCCCTCTCTCTCTGCCCCTCCCCAATTTGTGGTCTCTCTCTCTCAAAATAAACTTAATAAAACCCTTCAAACACCCTTAGAATAAAACCCAAACTCCTTTTCATGGCCTTCATCATCTGGCCTCTGTTTGCCTCTTCAATTTTAACTGGTATCATGCTCCACCTGCTATACTCTGATCACACTGGCTATATGTTTGTTCTTCTAATACTGTAAGCTTGCTCCTGTCTAAGAGCCTTTTGTACTTGCAGTACCTTCTGCCTGGGATGTTAGTCCCTCTGTTCCTTCTTGTTAGTTACTTTTTTATTATACTTTTTTATTGTATCAAATGATATTTCCTCAGAGAAAACTTCTTTATCTTTAGGGCTGTAAAGAAATGATTCAAGGGTCCAGGAAATAGTGGGTAGTGAGTGGAACAGCCAGTTGGAGACTGTGAGAGAATCTGAGAATTCATCCCCTGTTTAAAAAGAGTGGCTACTACTCTGGTTTAGCTAATTTTTGTCATGTGAAAATGCAATTGAATGTTTCCAGATGTCTGAGTTTTCAAGAGAAGCCAGAAATATGGACTTTCATGTGGAAATATTACAATTGTTAAAAATTAAAAACAAATGCAAAGTTTTAAATGATACATTAGAGATCAAACAAAATGTATCTCAGGTCCAATTCATTCCATAGGCCTTTAGTTTGTAACCAACCTCTGTTCTATCACATCATTCTGTTTACTACTGTGATAAATTATACAAATAATTTCCTGTCTACTTTTCACTGTATTTAGGTGCACATGAAAACTTTTAAAAAATCATGACCACCATGACATCCTTACTCTAACAAAATTAATAATAAGCCCTTATCCAGACCATATTAAGATTCCCCCAATTTCCACATAGGATCTTAATAAATGATTGTTGAATAAATAAATGATAAATAGATGAACAAAATATCTACAGTATAATTCCCTCATCCATGAAACACAATCTTCCTTATTAGAAACATTAGTATATCTTGTCAAAAGAGGCTTCACTTTCAACTTTTGAAAGGTGGGGAATTGGTTTAGCAAGTACTCTTCTAGTTGTACAGATGAAAACTAAGAGTAAAACTCCATAGTGGATATTTACCCAAGAAAGATGACGTAGCTCTGCACAAACACTTGTGCAAGAATACTAATGATAAGTAAGCACTGGGAACACCACATGTGCATCAACAGGTGAATGGATAAACAAACTATGATATATTCATACAATGAAATACTACTCAGCAACAAGAGAATAAAATAAAAAACAACGTGAACGAATGTCAAAATGTTATGCTAAATAAAAGAAGCAAGACACAACAGTGCATATTGTATGATTCCATTTATATAAAATTCTAGAGCAGATAAAACTAATCTATGGTGGAAATCTAGGAGAATAGTGGTTGTTTGGTGGCGGTTGGTGGGATTGACAGGGTAGGAGCATAAAAGAAGTTTTTGGGGTGTGGTAATGTGTATAGAAGTTTTGGTTACACAGATATGTACATTTGTCAAAATACTGAATGGCATGCTTAAGGTTTATACATGTCTTTGTATGCAAATTTCACCCAATAAAAGAATGATAAAATATATAGGTAGGTGTGTATTTATATCTGATACTTTGAAATGTATCAAAAAAAATAAGATGACTCAATGGATGATGGATAGAGGGATGGATTTGTGAAAAGATATGTGATAAAGCAACATAGCAAATGTTAGTGGTAGACTCCAGTGCTAGGTATACAGATGAGCCTGTGGATATATGTGACAGCCTTTTTGAGATTCTTGCTGATTTGCTTCTCTAGGTGACTTTCAATGAACTGACCTCCACTCCCAGTTCTTGTGTAAACTGGGAGCTTTTTAGCTATATCGATGAGCATCTGCTTCTGGACCTCAGGTCTTTCTTCATGTTCATAGCGTTCCTTGTCTGAATAGGACAACTGGAACTAGAAGCAGAAGTGAAAAGTGAGACTTTATTTTTCAAAATTTGAATAAAAGATTAAAACAACAATAACTACTTAGGTGAAGATATTTGTTACCTACCCTTGAAGTCCAGATACCAATTTGGCTTATAACTTCTTAGGATAATTATCTTAATTATTTTATCTGGGTTTTATCTCAATCTTCCTAAGTCTATGTGATAGGTAGTATTGTTTTATAAATAAAGAAAAGAAAATTTAGTGAGATTAAGTACTTTGTCCATGGTTATACTCAATTAACTAGTATATAGCAAAACTAAGCTCTAAACCCAGTTCACTTGACTCTTAAGATTTATGGCTTTTCCACTCCATTATACCATAATATGATGTTATATACAGATATGTAACATCTAGCTGTCAGGACCCTGTTGACGATTAACTATGATTTTTATTAATTTGTAGTTTTTCACACCTGTCAGAATGGCTACAGTTAACAACACAAGAAACAACAGGTATTGGCAAGGATGAGGAGAAAGGGGAACGGTCTTGCACTGTTGATGGAAATGCAAACTGGTGCAGCCACTCTGCAGAAAATATGGAGGTTCCTCAAAAAGTCAAAAATAAGGGCTCCTGGGTGGCTCAGTCGGTTGAGCGTCTGACTTAGGCTCATGTCATGATCTCACAGTTCGTGGGCTCGAGCCCTGCTTCGGGCTCTGTACTGACAGCTAGCTCAGAGCCTGGAGCCTGCTTCAGATTCTGTATCTCCCTCTCTCTCTGACCATCCCCTGCTCATGCTCTCTCTCTCTCTCTCTCTCTCGGAAATAAATAAAACATTAAAAAAAGTTAAAAATAGAATAGTTCAATTGCACTACTAGGTATTTATTCAAAGGATACAAAAATATTGATTTGAAGGGGTACATGTACCCCAATGTTTATAGCAGCATTATCAACAATAACCAAGCTATGGAGAAAGCCTGGATGTCCACTGACTGGTGAATGGATAAAGAAGGTGTAGGATATATATAATGCAATATTAATCATCCATCAAAAATAATTAAATATAGCCATTTGCAATGACATGGGTAGAGTTAGAGTGTATTCTACTAAGTGAAATAAATTAGTCAGAGAAAGGCAAATACCATATGGTTTCATTCATACATGAAATTTAAAAAATAAAAACGATTATCATATGGGTAGGAGAGAGAGAAACAAACCATGAGTTTTAGGGAAAGATAGAAAAAAACTGAGGGTTGATGGAGGGAGGTGGATGGGAGATGGGCTAGATGGGTGATGGGTATTAAGAAGGGCACTTGTCGGTGCGCCTGGGTGGCTCAGTGGTGTAAGCGTCTGACTTTGGCTCAGGTGATGATCTCACAGTTCGTGGGTTTAAGCCCCGCATCGGGTTTTGTGCTGACAGCTCAGAGCCTGGAGCCTGTTTCAGATTCTGTGTTTCCCTCTCTCTCTGCCCCCCCCCCCAACTCGTGCTCTGTCTCTCTCTGTCTCAAAAATAAATAAACTATAAAAAAATTTTAAAAAATAAATAAATAAAAAAGGAGGGCACTTGTGATGAGCACTGGATGTTGTATGTAAGTGATGAATCACTGAATTCTACTCCTAAAAACAATATTGCACTGTATGTCAATTAACTGGAATTTAAATAAAAATTTGGAAAAAAGTTGTAGGTATTTTTCATTGGTGACAGTCTTAGAGAAGCTGGACAAAGCTTGTGACATTGTATATTATAATTTTGCAAATGAGTAGAAATTTGGGTATTCTATTTCAGAAATTTTTGGTCGGGTACGAAGCTTATTGCCAATGTTGGCATCATATTTTGCTAATCTTACAAAAGATATGTCAATGATTTTCCAAAGGAACACAAACTTGAAAGCTGTCTTCTGGCTGGGACAAAAGGAAGGCAAAGGTGAAAAAGAAAAGGATCTGTGATCAGAGTTTTAGGGTTTAAACCTCATCTCTTCCACTTAATAGGTAAAAAATCACTTTGGAAAATCAGACACCTCATCCCAAGTTTCTTCATCTGTTAAATAGAAGAAATAATATCTACTTCATAAGATTGGTCTAAAAGTACTGGATAGTAAGTAATTAAAAGTTACTTTAACAAGCCTAATTTATTTTTTTAAATTTAGTATTGAGAGAGAGAGAGAGAGAGTTCGGACGGGGCAGAGAGAGAATTCCAAGCAGCCTCTACACTGTCAGAGAAGAGTCTGATGTGGGGCTCAATCTCATGAACCATGAGATCAGGACCGGAGCCAAAATCAAGAGTCAGGCGCTTAAACCAAGTGAACTCCCCAGGTGCCCTGCAAGCACAATTTCTTAAATCATTTAAAAATATTTGATATTCACCCCCCTTCACATCCCCCCCAGCCCATCTGCATGGAGGAGGACACTTGTGGGGATGAGCACTGGGTGTTATATGGAAACAAACTTGACAATAAACTATTAAAAAGTATTTGATATTGTCATTTAATATATTTTATTTTTTTAAGTTCATTTATCTTAGAGAGAGAGAAAGAGGGCATGGGAGGGGCATAGAGAGAGGGAGACAGAGAGAATCACAAGCAGGCTCTGCTGTCAGCACAGAGCACACATGGGGATGAAACTCATGAACTGTGAGATCATGACATGAGATGAAATCAAGAGTCAGAGGCTCAACCCACTGAGCCAACCAGGTGCCCCCTATTTCTAATTTTTTGAGGAACCTCCATACTATTTTCCACAGTGGCTGCATCAGTATGCACTCCCACCAAAGGTGCACAGGGGTTCCCAATCCCCCAGATCTTCTCCAACAAGTTGTTTCTTGTATTTTTTATTTTAGCTATTCTGACAGGTGTGAGGTGATATCTCATTGTAGTTTTGATTTGTATTTCCCTGATGATGAGTGATGTCGAGCATCTTCTCATGTGTCTGTGCACCATTCATATGTCTTCTTTAGAGAAATATCTGTTCATGTCTTCTGCCCATTTTTAAATAATTTGTGGGTTTTTTGGTGTTGAGTTGTATTAGTTCTTTATATATCTTGAATACTAACCTTCTAACAGATATGCCATTTTTAAATGTCTTCCCCTATTTAGGAGGTTGTCTTCTAGTTTGTTGATTGTTTCCTTCACTGTGAAGAAGCTTTTTATTTTCGTGTAGTCCTTATAGTTTAGTTTTGCTTTTATTTTCCATGCTTCAAGGAGACATATCTAGAAGAAAGTTGCTGTAGCCAATGTCACCCATTATTGCCTGTGCTCTCTTCTAAGATTTTTATGGTTTCAGGTCCCGCATTTAAATTTCTTTAAAAATGTTTTTATTTATTTCTGAGAGAGAGACACACACACACAACATAAACAGGGGAGGTTCAGAGAGAGAGGGAGATACAGAATCTGAAGCAGGCTCCAGGCTCTTAGCTAGCTGTCAGCACAGAGCCCGATGTGGGGCTGGAACCCACGAATCGTGAGATCATGACCTGAGCTGAAGTCGGACTCTTAACCGACTGAGCCACCCAGGTGCCCCTCAGGTCCCACATTTAGATCTTTAATCCATTTTGAGATTGTTTTTGTGTATGGTGTAAGAAAGTGGTCCAGATTCATTCTTTTGCATGTAGCCGCTCAGTTTTTTCAACATGATTTGTTGAAGAGATTGTCTTTTCCTCATTGAATGTTTTTGCTTCTCTCATCGAAGATTAATTGACCATACAATCAGGTGTTTGTTTCTGGGCTTCTTATCCTGCTCTATTGATCTGTGTCTATTTTTGTGCAAGTACCATACTGTTTTGATTACTACAGCTTTGTAGGATAACTTGAAATCTGTAATTGTGATACCTCCAGGTTTTCTTTCCTTACTCAAGATTGTTTTGCCTATTCTGAGTCTTTTGTGGTTACACACATTTTAAGATTATTTATTATATTTATTATAGTTCTGTGAAAAATGCTGGTGGTATTTTAGTAGGGATTGCATTAAATCTGTAGATTCCTTTGAGTAGTATAAACATTTTAACAATATTCATTTTTCTAATCCATGAGCATGGAATACTCTTCCATTTGTTTGTGTTATCTGCAATTTCCTTCATCAGTGTTTTATAGTTTTCAGAGTACAGGTCTTTCAAATCCGTGGTGAAGTCTATTCCTAGCTATTATTTTTTTGTGCAACTCTAAATGGAATTGCATTATTAGTTTCTCTTTCTGCTGTTTCTTTATTGGTGCATAGAAACGCAATGGGTTTTTGCACATTGATTTTGAACCCTGCAATCTTACTAAATTTATTAATCAGTTCTAGTACTTTTTTGATAGAGTCTTTAGGGTTTTCAATATAGAGTATCATGTCATCTGGAAATACTCAAAGTTTTACTTCTTCCTTACCAATGTGGATGCCCTTTATTTCTTTTTGTTCTCTGATTACAATGGCTAGGTCTTCAGTACTGTGTTGAATAAAAGTGATGAGAGTGGATATTCTTGTCTTGTTCCTGATCTCAGGGGGAAAGCTTTCAGTTTTTTCCCATTGGGTGTGATACTAGCTGTGGGTTTTTCATAGATGGCCTCTATTATGTTGAGGTATGTCCCCTGTAAACCTACTTTGTTGAGGGTTTTAGTGATGAAGGGATGTTGTACTTTGTCAAAGGTATTTTCTACATTGAAATGATCATGTGCTGTTTTCTTTTCTCTTATTGAAGTGATGCATCATACTGATTGGTTTGCAGATATTGAAACACCCTTGTATCCTGGGAATAAATTCCATTTGATCATGAATGATTTCATTAAAATATTTTTATGACTGAATAACTTTCTGTTGTTTATCTGTAACATAATTTCTTTTTTTTTTTCTTCCTTCAATAGTTTGTCAAGTTGGTTTCCATATAACACCCAGTGCTCATCCCCACAAGTGCCCTCCTCCATGCCCATCACCCCCTTCCCCTCTCCCCCACCCCCCTCAGCCCTCAGTTTGTTCTCAGCATTCAAGAGTCTCTCATGGTTTGCCACCCTCCCTCTCCCCAACTATTTTTCTCCTTCTTCTCCCACTTCGTCCTCCAT